AGGCAGGACTGGCTGTTCCTGGACAACTTAAAGGTTTCTGGCCTATATTAAAGACTTGGATCTATGCCAACTTCTCACACAAAGTTAACTTTAAATGACTTGGGTGCTGCTCTGACAGGCACCTTCTGTTAACTGATCAAATCAGTGTACTCCAATCAAGAAGGCACTAGGCTGTATTCTGACATCAAACAGTGACAAGTTCGGACTGGCTCAGAGGTGGTTGGCAGGATTGAAGCCTCCTTGCCAAAGAGAACTGGGCAGAATGTGGTTTCAAATGCTACTGACAGATGGTTTTTTACCACATGCAATGAGAACCCACACGATAAAGGTTTTACCAGCTTCCAAAGAGCCCCAGGGTGTAGATGGGGTAGGTTGGTCATGAAATGATGGTTGTTAGTGCCTGGTGGATCCACAGAGTTTCATCACACTACTCTGTCCTCTTTTGTGTATGTTAAAATGAAGTCCAAAAAATAAATAAATAAATAGTACAAATAGTCTGTGAATAATTTGGGATCCTGACCAAAGAAACTTCTTCCACACTAAAACAGGACCACAGTGAGATGCTGATTTTTTGCAAAGGACACGTTTACTCCTTCAGTACAAAATGGCATGTGTTACATGTCAAAGTAAGCCCATCCCTTCACTTGGTTCTCCTTTTACATTTTCCAAGGCTAATGCAAAAATCACAGAAGCTAATTTTCCTAAAGACATCTTCAGCACCTATAGTGTCTATACAGTGCACAACTAAGAATCTGGGCTTAGCAGGCACTGCATCCCTCCTGAGAGCTGATCCTTGCAGAATAACCAAGCACTGAATGAAAAACAGGAAATGAACAGTGACAGGGAAGAAGGAGATCTAAGTTGTGACCATTACCTGTTAAAAATGTCATCATCTTCACCTCCCCAGCCCCAATAATTATTAGGAAATCCATTGATGGTGAGAAACTGTTGTTTACTTAGAGCAGAGACACCTCCAAAATACTGAACATAAGGTAGGCTGAGGAAATAAAAAAAAACACACACACATATACACAAGGGACCAGTTATTAGTAAGTTTTGACTTTCTCAAAAAAAAAAAGCTTGATCAAAACAGAAACACTTCTAAGTTATTTTTATTCTCTGGAACTTTTTAAGCGGGGGTTTATGAGGGTTTTCTTTGTTCTGTTTTTATATCAGACAAAGAGTATTTTAGAGAAGATATATCTCAAAAAGTAGAGTCTAAAGTAGAGTCTTCCTCATTCTAAGAATACTGTGTTGCTTCTGTGGTGATCTAGAAAATCAGTCAGTGACAAGAGCATAAAGCTCAGTTTTTCTACACTGCTCAGGAATCTGTTTCTCAGGTGTCCTGCTCCTGCACAGGAAATCCTTATCCAGGAGGTCCAGGAATCTGAGTGTTTTACAGTCTCCCTGTGCTCATCCATCTACTAGTCTAGCTTTCATTCTTCTTAAGGTATATTGGCCTGAACACTGACTCTAACAATCAAGACAGCATTTCTAAAAATTTCCTAAAAATAAAATTTTCTTAGAAATTTCTACCATATACTGAACTTAGCAAAATGTATAATGGTGAAGCTATTTGGACACATTTTCAAGCAGCAGGGCATCAGGGAGCTCTCATCTGTCTAAATCTTTTTATATTTCAATATTTCAATGGTTATGACTCTTGGGCTCCTGAGGGATACAGAGGAAGCAGTGATGAGAAATGTCAAGAATCAGGATGTGCCTGGAGGCCATGCAAAGGCCTTCTGTGGGTGCTTTAAAGGTTATGGTTTTGTGATGACCCCGTGCACAGTTCCAAAACACACTCGGTCTCTTACTAGAATCCAAAGAGACCAAAATCTATCACACAAATTATGGAAAACTCTAACTCAGACTTAGAGGGACAAGTCAGGCAAACCATACAGAACCTATGAAAAGAAAAAGCGATTCTTATTTTCAAATACATGCAGGAATTCTGACTGCAAGTATCCGTAAGTGAAGATCCCTGGGGCCTGCTTTAGAATCTAAGGTAATCTGTTTGTAATGAGGTGTCATCACCGAGGTGCCAAGTCATCCACCTTTCGGCTTTCCTCACACTCAGCCTGCACTTAAAATGTGACGGTTTGAACCAGAGGTGCCCAGGCCAAGATTTTTTGATAATCAGTGTTTTTACAGAAATGGATTCTTTGCCACTTTGAAGGGAAGTACAGCTCAGTTGATAAGATCTGCTTTTGCTGTTTCTGCTGCTTTCTCTTATCTCCTTCTGCCCCATCTCACAAGCTTAAGTGGTTCTGGAAAAAACAGACATGGTGCTGTGGTAAAGAATTAGGTGCTCACCACCATGCTTCCAGGGAGGAATTAAGAGAGGCCGGGGTACGAGCCCGTGCATCTCAAAGAGAAGATGACACAAACAGGGAGGAGAGGGAGGGAAGATGTGGGGCAGAGTGCTGTTTACAATTTTTTTCCCCCTTGAAGACAGCAAGTTTACGGCCTGAATACTTTTGATCTGGGGGAAGGACTTCATAACATCCCTAACTATATTCATCTCAAAGAGCTCATTCCCTCAGCAAAGGAAGATAGAAAGAATTATGAGAATAAAACTGAGTCTGAAAGAAAGCAACTGTATCCAAACCAAGGGACTGCTTGCTGGTCAGGCCCAGGCCGGCCCACCCTTGTAATCGGCCCGAGGCAGGTGCGTATACAAACTGTAACCTGTAGCACAACTTCCTGCAGCTTCTTACAGCAGGGAGGGAAGCGTCAGGTTATGCAACTGATAGGTGATTTAAAACCAATTTGTCTTAATACGAGTATGGATAAATTATGGAAGAAAATAAACATTTGTTTGTTTCTTTATTAAGATAAAACTATGGACTACAGGGTAATTTTCCACCTATGAAAAAATGCTTTGGATTATACCACTGTCCCTGGGGGCAAGCATCAGCTGACCTTCTCACTAAGGGCATTTGGGTAGAAACATTTGGGCCTCAGGTTTAAGCAGAAGCCTGTGTGTTGCTGAGAAATAGAATCATGTTTCTGTTTAAAAATCATGTTCTGCTTAAAGTACCAAGGAACATTTACTGAGGTATGTAAGCCCTAGAATTTACTAGAGGAGAATGATTCTAATTTGCTTCCCAAACTGGGTGGGGAAGGAGAGAGAAGAAAACAAAGAAACAGGATTTGTCTGGAGCCTAGACGAGCCATCTCAAACATTAAAAACTATTCTTGTCTGGAGGTACAGAGATTATAGGCATTTCTGCACTCCACTTACCTTCTCAAACAATAACTAATTTTGGACTTAAAAAGCACTCATTTCTCAGAGTAGGCATTCTTTTCCAGAGCCTAAAGAGACACTCCTGGGCTGGAGGAACTGCATTTCCTGTTGTCATATCACAGAGAAATGTGTTTTCTGTGGACTTCGGTGAACAGCTCTTACCTAAATCCAAACTTATCCATTGCTACAGAAATGTGCCGTGGCTGTGAAAAACACCTGTAGGCATTACGATCATCCATTGGAATGAGATCCACATCACTAAACACGAAGCAGCTGTAGTTGTAGTCTTTCAAGGCCTCTCGAAAGCCAATGTTGAGGAGCTTAGCACGATTGAACATGGACTCTCCAGCCTAGTGCAGAAACAAAAGAAGTGATATCAGATGCCAGAAGGCCTTTCGGCAGAACACAGGGACTGGTAACTTGTCTACTACACATGGTCATTACTCCACTTTTGGGCCTCATTTTTCTGCCCTCATTTACAAATTAATATCAAGTGGTATAGCCTGAGTCAGCAATCCCACTTCTCAGAATTATCCTGTAGGACTTGTAAATGTGAGAATGATATATGAATGATGTAGTTCCCCAAGGAGTGTTCGTCATAGCAAAAGATTGCAAACAATGACATAAGCACCACTAGGGAACTAGTTAAATAAATCATGGTAGAGCCATATAACGGAATGGAGCTATTTTAAAATCTATGGAAGTGCTAAAAGGAAATAGTATTGATAGGTGAAAAGGCATTTAAACATACGTGTCATTTATTTACATACTATTTATAGACTAATTACAGAAAAGATACCCAGGAAACTAGTGCCTATGGGACTTTTCACTTCTACCCTCTTTATTTATATGGTCCACTAAGACTGATAACCACATCGTGTGCCTATCAGGTGTCTGTCACTAAACTAGGCACCAGAGAAGCAGGGCAAATCCAATTCAATCTCTGCCCTTCCAGCGTTCATAGCATATGGTGGGAAGCAGTGTGGTACATGCCACGATATAAATAGGGTGTCTGAGAGGGTGTATGTGAGAGAGGATAACACCTGCTTCAGGATGCCGACCACTGAGCCCCAAAGCACCAAGTCTGTTCATGCAAAGGTACTCCATGTTTTATTTACTTATATATTTTCAGTCTCCCCCCACTAGAATGTATGCTCAACGAAGGCTGGGATTTTTTACATTTATTCACCCAGTGCCTTGAACACGGCCTGGCATACAATAAGAGCTCAATAAATAACGGACGGACGGACGGATGGGTGGATGGATGGATGGATGGATAAATTGATGGATGGGTTTCAACATGCAATGGCAGAGAGCAATCCTTTCTGAGAAGCTCTAACCAAAGGTCTCCTTCAGGGTCACCAGTGTGAGTCTCTGTTCTTAACCAAACCCCATGGCCCTATGTTACTAAGGGCAGTTACACCATTGACACCGCCATCCTTACACTTAGCAATTCATAAGCCCTTCCACACATGTGCTCTCATCCTGACCAGAATCCTCCCAACAACGCCATGAAGAAACTAAGGCCACATAAGTGACACAGTTGGGACTGGAGCCCAGCACTCTGGAATTCTCATTTTATGGTCTTTCCTAATCTCTCTTGGAATCAAGAAGATCAGGGCCCTCTACTTTGGAGAAAAAAAAAGTGTCTTGCAAGGAAGGACCTGAAGTGGTTACAAAGCTTCAGAAGTGGGATGCCCAAAGCACTCTCTCCAGGCTCTCGAGAGAAGACTTGTAAACTGGTGCTCCACAAGGCTGCCTCTATGAGCACAAAGCAGGCGAACAGCGCCACAAAACCCAGCTTCAGGTGGGTGACTCAGGAAAACGAACCACTCAAAGAAAACAAGTTCCAGGAAGTCATACAAAGCAGCCAAGAGACCACTAAGTGAATTAAGGAAGCATCTTACACAAGAGCTCCTTTCTTCAGCCCATGAGAAAGCTTTCTAACCATACATGGTGAAAGAGAAAACTGTGCCCAACATCACACGCTGTATTCTTTGGCTGTCTCACCAGTTAAGACTTTCAGAATTCTGCCTTTGGGTAATTCTCTAAAGTCATGAAGCAAAAAAAAGTTCAAAGTTTAGAAACTGCATATGAAAACCATGAAGTTGTTGTAATTATTATTATTGCAACAATACCTTGCTAATATTCATTGGGAAGATATGATAGATCAGGCACGGGGTGTTTTACATGCATGGCATTGTCATTTAATCATCTTAACAATCTTGTAACAACCTTCACCCCAAACCAGACTTACTTTCCTCCCCAAGCTTTCTACCTTTCAGTGATGGGCAGAGAGGCCTGTGCCTGGTACTTTCCTAGTTCCTTCAGCCCCATGAAGACTCTAGAAGAGTTAGCTTTCTCTGAACATTTTCAAACACAATTCAGACCCACTGAACACTTTTTCAAGTGAAAGGGCAGTGTCTCAACAAAGCCCTTCCACACCTGTGCAGCAGACCTCCAAGTGCAGCTGCCCAGTGTTCCCTTCTCTTGGACCTCTCTCTAATGACAGAGGCAAGGGGCTCTTAACCACAGGACCTGGCCGCCTGGCCACAACTGTTTGATCTAAGCAGACGCCTGACTGAGACTAAACTAAGCATTTTTCCTCTCCCAGGAACTGAAAATGTGGAGCCATAAATGGGCACCTCTGGAGCCAAGCCCCTAGAATGATGGCAGTCTGGAGGAGAAACCCAGGGAAGAGATTTGGTTCTGCCCCTTTCCCCACGTGGGATGCAATAGTTCCTTGGACTCAGTAAGGCATTCCAGTGTCTGGCCCACACTTAGAACCAGTTAGGCAGTTTTCTAAAATGACCTAACTATACATCACCCCTTCCACCCTTCCTCCCAGCCTGGCCTCAACCTGTGTGATCCTGGGAGAAGGGAATGGCAGAGTATATTTTTGCAGGTGTTAGCCCCTAGGAACACCAGATCAGCGGGATGATAGATGAGGGAAGTATGCGTCTTCCACTTTCTCCCTTGGGATTACGGAAATGTCAGTTCTAGGCTTCTTTGGGTGGACTGCTATAATACCGTGGGTAACATTCTTAATAAAAAAGACAGGCCCTGGCAAGTCCACAACTCCCAGCACTAACAGCAGGTGCCCATGCCTCTCAGGGGACCAGGAAGATATCCAGCCCCCATTCCTGCCCCTCCTCACTGGGCACATTCATCCAGTGTACCTGCCACTTCATTCATTCAAATCACCATTTATCAAGCACCTACTATTTGGCCAAGCCAAAATGTTATAATGTTATGACAGACACATGCATTTTTATCCCAGGAACGCCAGCTTCTTCATTTATTAGCTATGTGACTTTGAGCAAATCACACCTCTAGGCCTCAGTTTCCTCACTGGTCATAGGCATGACAACAGGTGGGTTGTAGTAAATGATGCACTGCATGAAAAGGCCCTAGCACACTGCCCAGCAACAAATGTTGGCAACCATTACGAAAGAAAGGGTTCCCATCCATCTTGAACAGTCAGACCTTTCAAAATGTCTCCCGGAGATCCAACCTGGAGACGCCTCCTTTTCTCCTATTTGTGTGCATGCTTCCCAATCAACGTCAAGATTCCTTCCAAATTCTGCTTCTCTGATAGGGGGAGGATTTTTGTAAGGATTAAGGCTCAAGAGAGTTAGCCTGTGGCTCATATGATGAGAATCTCTATAGCAGCCATGGAAAGAGATCTTTAGAGATGCGTGAAATGCTTAGGAAGTCACACATGGTGAAGGGGAGCTGGCGCACTGGGAGCAGATGTCCCTCTGAAAGACCGATCGTTTTAAAGTGCAGGCTTCATTTTCTATTGGTAGACAAGTTATACTTATCCCTTCCTTCTCGGGCAACTGGCTCCTCCTAGCAGAGAGAGAGGACAAAAGGAAAGATGAAAGGCCAAAAACCATATGGCATTCCCACAGCTGGACAGGGCAGCTGTCCCACTGACCAGAGCTCACAGAGAAGCATTTTATGACTGGCCATAAAATCCTGACAGTAGGTATATGAGTCGGTCAAACAGAACCAATGATGGCCAGTAAAGAAAGGACAGGAGCTTGGGCTTGGTCAGGCACGCTGGCCTGGGGTAGAGTGAGGACGCTTGAAGTGGGAGGCTTGGTATGGGACTGAAGGCCAAGCTCCCTGGAGGAGAGAAAAGAAGAAGCTACCTTCAGACACATCATGCAGCAAATCCTTCTGGCAGATCTGGGTGGCAGGGAGGAATGTCTTAAGAAGTACCAGGTGGCTCTCCAGGGCTATTCAAATCCTTTTTTAGAGCCCTCGTTTACACTAAAGATAGCAGAGAGCAAACAGTATGTCCACTGAAAATGGAATCCTCCTACACTGCTGGTGGGAATGTGATATGGTGCAGCCATCTTGGAAAGCAGTCTGGCAGTTCCTCAGATAAAGAATTACCACATGATTCGGCAATTCCACTCCCAGGATATATCCAAGGGGAATAAAAACACGTCGTCTACACAAAAACTTTTACACAGTGTTCATCGCAGCATCATTTACAATAGCTAAAAAGTAGAAATGGCACACATATCCATCAACAGATGAATTAACAAAATGTGGTGTATCCATACAACGGAATGTTATTCAGCAATAAAAAGGAATGAAATACAGACACATGCTACAACACAAATTAACCTTGAAAACATTATGCTAGGTGAAAGAAGTCAGTCACGAAGGATCGTATATTTGTTATGATTCCATTTATATGAAATGTCCAGAATAGGCAAATCTATAGACAGAAAGATTAGTGGTTGCCTAGGGCTGGGAGGAATAGAGAGATTGGTAGCTAAGAGGCATGGGGCTTCTTTTTGGCGTAATGACAATGTTCTAAACTGATCTTGTGGTGATGGATACACAATTCTGAATACGCTAAAAGCCACTGAGTTATATATTTTAAATAAGGAATTGTATGATATGTGATTATATCTGTTACCAAAAAAAAAGAAAAAGAAAAAGAAAAGAAAAGAAAGAAAGAGCAAGCCAACCCTAGAGACAGAAGAGGACCAGAAGGTCCTGTTTCTCCTCTCATATACTAGTCATTGAGTGTCTATGCTTAGCAGTAGGGATACATAAAAGGAAAAAACACAGGTTCACTTTTGGGGTGTTTCAAGTTAAATAGGCGATTATAATGGGCAGTGAGTACTTTATGGTAGACAGCTACCAGGGGAGGGAAGAGGAGGGGGGCAGGGTTGTCCGGGGAGCTACAGAGCCCAGCACAGATGGAGACCTGGATATGGAGACACTAACCTAGCCCCGGGGGATCGGAAGCTGTGAAGAAGTCAGCCAAGTTTAGTGAGGAGGCCTGAGAAGAGTATTCCTAGGAGAGCAGCATTTGTAAAGACTG